GTTAGGGCAGGCGCCTGTGGTCCCAGCTACTTGGGAGGCAGAGGCAGGAGACTCGCTTGAGCCCAGGAGTTGGAGATTGCTGTGAGCTGTAATGCCACGGCACTCTGCCCAGGGGGACAGCTTGAGGCTCTGTCTCAAAACAAACAAACAAACAAACAAACAAAAAACCCAGGCCCAGAGGCTTCCCTTCTCTGAGCCTGAGTCCCACAGGGGTCAGGACAGTATCTCCCAGGGGGTAGTGCTGAGTCCTCCTGAGCCCACACCCACCAAGCCCTCAGCACAGTGTTGGCCACATGGGATGTGCAAAGGCTAGCATGTTTGATTCTGAGTCCTATCACTTCCCTGTCACTTTCCTTAGGAAGGTCTCACAGAACAGACCTGCCTCTTCTGCCCCCCACATTCCTTTCAAGTGGCTCCTGGGTCTTCTCTTTCCCTGGCCAAATGACTCCCAGTCCTTGCCAGGTTCTCCTCCCCTCAGCCTGTCCCTTTTTTCTGTCCCTTGGATATCCACACCAGGGGTGCACATGAGGCTCAGCAGTATGTGGCCAGGGCAGGGCCCATGGTCCCCAACCCATCCTTGCTCTGGTCACCACACCCCACATCCCAGGCCTCAGTGACCTTGAGACTTTCGGCAGGTGATTCACTCTTTGTCAACTGAAACTCCCTCTTCCATCTTCTTTCTAGCAGACTCCCTGCCTGTCCTGGCCTAGCCCGTGAAGATACTTCTGCCCCTCTAGGTGGTTGATCAGGGTGGCATGAGGTGCAAAATAATGGTCCAAAGGACCCCAGCCCAATTTCCCAGCATGAGAGCCTCAGCTCTCATGTGGAGGTTTCAGTAGGACCCAGGAGCAGGGATGGAGGAACAATCTGTTCTAGTCCCCCTATCTCCCACCTCCAGCTCACCACAGAGGATGAGTCGCTGGTACCATCAGGGGTGTCGCAGTCAGGGCTAGAGCTGGTGTCAGAGTTGGGGTCCTTGTTGCAGCTGCCACATGGGGAGGAGGTCAGGCCCTCCAGATAGGGCACTGCCTCAAGCTCCCAGCTCCTCCTCCTGGGGGCTGCTGCGAGGCTGTCTTCAGGGAGACCTGCTGATGGAGATGGGCCCCTGGGAGAGGAGATAGACCCATGACTTTTTCCCAAAATGCAATGGGGAATTAGAGGAGTGACATCCCCATCCTACTCAAGCATACTTGCTCACTCACACAAGGGGCCTGGAATCCATATGTCAGCATGGCAGAGAGAACCAGAGGCTGTCTGTGTGCTATATTGTTATTTATTTGTTTAGAGACACAGTCTCGCTCTGTCCCCTAGGCTGTCTGTGTGCTATGTTGTTATTTATTTATTTGTTTAGAGACACAGTCTCGCTCTGTCCCCCAGGCTGTCTCCCCAGCTCACTGTAGCCTTAAACTCCTAGGCTCAAGCGATCTTCCTGCCTCTTAGTCTCTGGAGTTGCTGGGACAATAGGTAAGTGTCACCATACCTGGCCATACACCATACATATTTTTTTTCTTTTGTAGAAATAGGGTCTCACGGCTTGGCGCCTGTGGCTCAAGTGGCTAAGGCGCCAGTTACATACACCTAAGGTGGCGGGTTCAAATCCAGCCCGGGCCCACCAAACAACAATGCCGGCTGCAACCAAAAAATAGCCGGGCATTGTGGCAGGTGCCTGTGGTCCCAGCTACTTGGGAGGCTGAGACAGGAGACTTGCTTGAGCCCAGGAGTTGGAGGTTGCTATGAGCAGTGAAGCCATGGCACTCTACCCAGGGGTACAGCTTGAGGCTCTGTCTCAAATAAATAAATAAAAGAGTTCTGTAGTCAAAAAAGTTTGGGACATACTACATATTTCTCTATCTCCCTCACCCAAAAGCTACATGCATGCCTGCAAACAGAAGGCTCTAACAAGTCCTTCAGGAAAGCTATTCAACTTCATTTATCTAGACTTTCTGAAACATATTTGATAGCAAAGCTGTGTGCTTTGTTTTACTTTTTTTTTTGAGACAGAGTTTCACTTTGTCACCCTCAGTAGAGTAATAGCAACCTCCAACTCCTGGGCTTAGGCGATTCCCTTGCTTCAGCCTCCCAAGTAGCTGGGACTACAGGTGCCTGCCACAACGCCTGGCTATTTTTTGTTTGCAGCTTGGCTGAGGCCAGGTTTGAACCTGCCACCCTCGGTATATGGCGCCGGCACCCCACCCTCTGAGCCACAGGCACTGCCCTGTGTGCCTTTTTTTTTTCTTTTTTTGCAGTTTTTTGCTGGGGCTGAGTTTGAACCCACCCACCATCTCCAGCATATGGGGCTGGTGGTCTACTGCTTTGAGCCACAGGCGTGGCCCTATGTGGGTTTTTTTTTTTTTTAAATAATGCCTACTCGTGAGGAACTTATGTTTCTAAAGCCATGCTGATTGATTCAACCCTTCTTAGTTTACAAACAGGGAAACCAAGGCATAGAAAGATAGAATAAGTTGCCTGAAGTCCCACAGCCCATCAGATATGAATCTTAAGCTGAGACTCAGGCTTCTAGATTCTCAGACCAGGGCCTCCCAAGGTACCATGATCAAGGGGAACTTTAGATCAGGGTTGGGGGTCGAAGGAGTCCTAGAGCCTCAAGCAGGGCATACCCAGGTAAGTGAGTGACAGCAGGTGCCCCTGGGTGCAGGGACTATTTAATCTTTTAAAGCTATGCAAAGGGAACTAGGAAACGTGAGCAGGCTGTGGGCTGTGCCCACTGCAGGGTAGGTGCACAGCTGCACACAGACTTCAGCAAAGCTGAGCTCAGTCTTGGGGAATTACAGAGTAGGCAGGACCACTGGGAGAGAGAGCCAGGGGCAGGGAGCGCAGGCTTAGCACTCCAGGTGCAAGCAGGGCCAGTCTGATCTGAGTTCTCCCTGTGGCCTGAGAAGCATGCCTCCTGTCCCCCCATGCCCAGGTTTTGTGGACTGACCACGTGACCTGTGCCAGCAGCCATGCCATCATAGACAGGAAGGGGTAGGTGGGGAGAGTAAGAAGGGTATTCCACCCCAGTGAGCCCTTCCCCAGGCCCTGGGTCTCTACCCACCTCTTGGGTCCTGGTCTGAGGCTTGGGTCCACCACAGACTGGCAGCTGGAGGTTGAGGCACTGAGTAGGTCCTCAGGAGCAGGTGGGCATCGGAGCAGGTCGCAGTAGGGCACTTCAGCACTGGAAGGGCTCCTGAGCTCCTGGGCCAGAGTTAGAGAGAGGAGGCAGCTCAGCACCCACGTGGGGGCTCCCCTCCCCCTGCATAGCCCCTCCCGGTACTGGGTGGTGTGGGAGAGTCTCCAGGCATCTCATCCTGGGATCTCACACTTCTCAAGGAGAGCTGCCCATCAGGCTGCAAGTGCCTCCTGGGATCTAAGCTGGGGGCTGGCAGAGGTACCTGGTATGTGTGTGCATGCACGCATGTGTATGTACACATATGGGCCTCAGCACACAGGTGTGTGTGTACAAAGGCCTGTGCTTAGGGCACATGTGTGCACATGGGTATTGAGAACATGTGTGCAGGCCCAGTGGGTACACCAATGCACATATTTGCAAAAATGCACCCAAGTTCTTTTGTGAGTGCGCGTGTGATTTTGTGCTTGCAAATGTGCAATACTTAGAAGGATGCAAAAGGGTCTTCGTAGCAGAAGAGAGGAGTGAGGAGAGAGGATTAATCTGACCTAGAGAGTAGGAAAAGGTGTGATGCAGGCGATGAGAAAACAAGACCTTGGATAAAAGAAGAGATTTGCCCCCCAAGGAGAGGAAGGGGCTCCCAGGATGGAGGCTCAGGGCCTCAGGGTGGGAGTGGGTGCCTGAAGCTAGCTGTCCACTCCTCTCTCCCTCCTGCCCTCAGCAAGGCCACACCTGTGAAGGCTGGTGCTGGGCTCACCCGGGGGGAACGGCTGCTCACCTCCAGGAAGCCCCCCCCCATCCCTCCCCATCTCCCAGGAGTGGCAGGGCCCTCCCCTGATGGTGGGAGACAGCGGCCATGGCACCCTGTGCCCCGCCTCTTCTCAGGTTACCTGGGCAGCGGCTCTGGTGATGATGGTGGTGGCTGTCGGCTGTCAGCACCCTCGTTCCCGGGGGGCTCCTGCTCAGGCCCCCACGCTGCCGCCCTCCGGGGCCCTGACTCTGGGCCGTGGTGGCGGCGGCAGCAGAGACAGCGGAAACCTTAGAGGGGCCAGCTTCAGGAGCAGGGGCCCCTCATTACTGTTTCATAAGCTCGGGCCCAGCCAAGAACAATGCAGGACACGAAACCGCAGGAACCTGATCCCAGCCGCTCACCTGAGAGCCCGGGCGGGCGGGAGCCTGGGCATGGGCTCCCTGGGGACCCTGAAGCCCAGAGCCCAGGGCCATGGCCACAGCCTGGTCAGTGCCCCAGAGTGGGCGTAGGCCCTCCTGGTTCCAAGAAGGCCACCACTGGGGGCTGGGCCTTGCCAAGGAGAGGGACCACAGTGTCTGCTGCAACATCCAGGCCAGAGGAGTCTGTCTGGATTTAGTTTCGCCCCCTGCCCCGCAGCCAGATTCTGATCAGAGCTCAGCAGCAGGAGGTGTCAGATCCATAGCCATGTCTGGCGCCTTGGCCACCCAGGGGACAGCACAGCATGAATGAGGAGGGAGCGGCTTGCCTAGCATCACCAAGGGGTCCTGGCCCAGCCAGGCCTAGCAGGACCCCCAGCCTGATGTGGTACATCATCCCCACCTTCACCCCAGCCCCCATCACCACCTACTGCCGCATGTGCAGGCCCAGCTGTCAGTCCTCAGCTCTGATTTCCCAACTGGCAGGTCAGCACAGGCTCTGGCCTTGGACACACCACGGGCCCCATGCTGGCTCCTCCACTTCCCGAGAGTGACCTCGGCCTAGTGACTTGTCCTTTCTGAGCCTTGTTTTCTCCTCTCTGAAATGGAGGAGGAAGTGCAACCAAGACCTTGGCTGAGTTACTTATTCTCTCTGTGCCTCAGTTATCTCATCTACAAAACCTGCACGCTAACCTCCTCGGGGTGCTCCGAGAAATAAACCAGTTAATATTTGTGTAGAGAGCTCTCAGAGTCTGGTCTGTGCATCTTAAACATAATACATAACTTAATAACATTAAATAGAATTTTGTAAGTGTTAAATTGGCACAATTAATGTTAAATATAATTAAGAATATATGGCTCAGGCGGCACCTGTGGCTCAAAGGGGTAGGGTGCTGGCCCCATATGCTGGAGGTGGTGGGTTCAAACCCAGGCCTGGCCAAAACCTGCAAACAAAAAAAAAGAATATATGGCTTAGCACGTACAGGCCACACACACCGGGGCTGGCAGGTTCGAATCCAGCCACAGGCTGCTAAACAACAATGACAACTACAACAAAAAAATAGCTGGGCATTGTGGTGGGCGCCTGTAGTCCCAGCTACTTGGGAGGCTGAGGCAAGAGAATCGCTTAAAGTAAACTAATTAAATTTTAAAAAAGAGAGAGAGAATTGCTTAAGCCCAAGAGTTTGAGGTTGCTGTGAGCTGTGACACCATGGCACTCCACTGAGGGCGACAGAGTGAGACTCTGTCTCAAAAAAAAAAAAAGAACATATGCTTGCCAGCCTGAGCAAGAGTCTGGATGCCCATCTCTACTAAAATCAGAAAAATTAGCCATGTGTTATGATAAGTAGTTATAGTCCCAGCTACTTGGGAGGCTGAGGCAAAAGAGGATTGCTTGAGCCCAAGACTTTGAGGTTGCTGTGAGCTATGATGATGCTATGGCACTCTACCCAGGGTGACAAAGTGATACTCTGTCTCAAAAAAAAAAAAAAAACGGGCACCTGTGGCTCCGTGGGTAGCACACCGGCCCATATACCGAGGGTGGCGGGTTCAAACCCAGCCCCAGCTCCGGCCAAATTACAACACAAAAAATAACCAGAGATTGTGGCAGGCACCTGTAGGCCCAGCTACTCGGGAGGCTGAGGCAAGAGAATCGCCTAGGCCCAGGAGTTGGAGGTTGCACGAGCTGTGTGATGCCACGGCACCCTACCGAGGGTGACAAAGTAAGACTCTGCCTTTACAAAAAAAAAAAACCAGAAGAGTACTTGCCTAACACACTGCAGGACCCTTTCACTTAAGCCCCTACTCCCTCTGGTCCTGGGGCTGACCCCTCCCTCCCAGTTGGTGGGAGACTTGGCCATGACTGAAGCAGGGACCAGCATCCAGAGCCCACAGACTGGGGTAAGCTGGAGCTCCCTGGGCATTTTGCATGACCAGGTAGTCAAGTGTTGATTCCTCTTGATGAGCAGGGACACCCTGGGACCTAGGGATATTTCTGTATAGTCTAGGATAGCAGAAGATGTCAGAACTGGATCCAGCCCTGTTTCTTTGCTGAGCTCCAGGAGATAACCTTTCTCGGGCCCAGAGATGAGTTTGTACCAGGTGTAGCTAGGAGTCAGCTAGGAACAGCGCTGATCTATGGAGATTGGGGATGCTGTTCTAACATACAGAATTTTTGACTCCACATGTTTGAAATCTCTTGACCTAACGCTAGGGGTGACTAAGGCCAAAGTTCCAGGATCCCTGGAGGAAAAACTGGCTATAGTTGGTTCCCTGGAGACCTGCTGTGAGAGATGGAGAGAGGGGACCATGATGACAGAGCAAGGCAGGGGCACCTCCCACCTCAGCAGCAGCATCAGGGTAGCTGGAAGAATCTACATCTTCCTTCGATACCCAACCATGCAGCACCATGGAATGGGGTCCAGAATGGCAGCTGGGCTGGACAGGGAGGCAGATGGAAGGGCCACAGAGACAACTGTATCTTCTGGGGCTGAGGGACAGGTGTTTAGTATCACATCTGCTACACAATCACTTATCTCCTGCCTAGAGTAGGGTCCCAAGGCCTGGCTCAGAGACATGACAGTCACCCCTCATACATCTGCAGAACTTGGAAGAATTTCATAACCTCAGGTCATCATAAGAGCAACTGCAAACTCAAGAAAGTAAAGGATTTAACACCATTGCCCCTCTCTAATCCTGAAACTGTCTTTGACCTTGGCCTCTGGGGAGCGGAGCACACTTGGCTTTGCCTCCAACCCTCTAGCTACTCCTCCTCTATCTCCTTGCTGTCTCTTCCTCCTATTCCTGCATGTAAATGCAGATCCCCAGGCCTCTACCAGGGGTCCTCTTTTTTTCTTTTTTTTTTTTAGAGACAGAGTCTTACTTTGTCACCCTTGGAAGAGTGCCTGGTGTCACAGCTCACAGCAACCTCCAGCTCTTGGGCTCAGGCAATTCTCTTGCCTCAGCCTCCCGAGTAGCTGGGACTATAGGTGCCTGCCACAACACCCAGCTATTTTTTGTTGCAGTTTGGCCGGGGCCGACCCGCTACCCTTGGTATACGGGGCCGATGCCCTACTCACTGAGCCACAGGCACCACCCTCTACCCAGGCCTCTTCTCCCCTCACTCCACAGACTCATCCAGGAGTAAGGCCATGGTTGGTGCCCAATCCTGGTGACCTGGAAGCCTCTATCTTCTGTCCCCCTGAGCTCTAATCCCTGTGTTTTCTAACCTCTCCCTCATCTCCATGTGTCCTGTGGGTACCTCACACTCATTATACCCCAAGCAACACCAGACAGATCCATTCCCAGTACCCTGCCTGAAACCACTTAGGAGTCAGTCATGGGTGTCTCTCCTCCCACACACCTGAATCTCATAGATTCTCTGACTCAATTAGTTCTGAAATGTGTCCATTTATCTCCATCTTAAAGCCCTCATCATCTCTGGCATGAGTGAGACTCACACTTTTCCTGGCAGATCACTCTGATTTGTTTTCACCACTCTGCACTCCACTCTCTGCTCAGCAATCAGAGTGACCTTAACAATGCAAATCAGATCTTCAGAGGCTCCTCATGACTCTCAGAACAGAACCCAAATTCTCAGTATGTCCACAAAGCCATACAAGGCTGGGTAAGATCCAGGCCCCAGCCATTGTCCACCTTGTCCTATAGTTTCTCTGCCCCTATCTCTCCCTGACCTCTTCCGCACTCTCCAGTGTGCCTCCTCCTTTCTGCCTCAGGGCCTTTGCACATTCTATTTCCCCCTTCTCTTCACTGACTATTACTAATGCCTACATAGCCTTTACCAAGTAGCCAAAATGTCATTTCCATGGAGACACCTCCCTTGATGTCCTATCATTTATTCTAAAGCTATTTGCTGTTCCTTTATGACATTTATCACAACCACGATTTAATAATCATTTGCGATTACTTTCTTACTCTTCATTTCTCTTGCTAAGATATAAGCCTCATGAAGCCAGAGATGTGTCTTATTTATCTTTATTATTTCCACAGCACCTAGCATAATACCTGGCACAGTTTAAGCATCTATTTAATAAGTATGAATACATAAGCTGGGAAATGGTGAGATGACAATTAGAACTCAGACCTCTATGAGTCCAGGCTTCTGCTACTGTTCCATGCTTACTGTCTTCCCACCACTGGGAGAAAGTCCTTTGCATGGGAGACGGACTCACAGGACTCTCAGACATCCATTCCCTGAACTTGAGGGTGAACACAGGGAGCTGTTATTGGTTGTATTGCCCAGCATCACCAAGGGGTCCCAGCCTAGCCAAGACTGGCAGGACCCCCAGCCTGACATGGCACCTCATCCCCACCTTCACCCTAGCCCCCATCACCAAGGTTTACTTTTCTGGTCAGGAAGAGGAAGAGATGGACTAAATTAGCCACATGTGGCTTGGGCTAAGTAGAGCCAGCTGACCCGAGAAGCCTGGTGCCCCCACTTTACCAACAAGGAGAATGATGCTAGAGAATTTAAAGGATCCAAGGTCATGCAGCAGATAATGGCAAACCTTGGACTGGAATTCTGGCTCTGAAGCTGAACGGCAGCTCCCTTGCAGTGGCTACCTCTTGGAACCTAACCCCCTGCACAAAGCTGGCTGCCAGGCTCAAGAGGAGTTTTAGACCTCAGTGAGAATAAACTGCCATGGCAGGTCAAGGCTGGAAGGGTCCTCAAAGAGTCATGGGCCCGGCTCGGTGCCTGTGGCTCAAGCAGCTAAGGCGCCAGCCACATACACCTAAGGTGGCGGGTTCGAATCCCCAGCCCAGGCCCGCCAAACAACAATGACAGCTGCAACTAAAAAATGGCCGGGTGTTGTGGCGGGTGCCTGTGGTCCCAGCTACTTGGGAGGCTGAGGCAGGAGAATCACTTGAGCCTAGGAGTTGGAGGTTGCTGTGAGCTGTGATGCCATGGCACTCTACCCAGGGGGATAGCTTGAGGCTCCGTCTCAAAAAAAAAAAAAAGAGTCATGGGCCCCACACCTCTTACAGCGGGTACATCAGGTGCTCTGTGTCACGTGTTCATGGGCTTAGCATCAGACCACATCATCACAAAGTAAGAATATGACTCCTCTTACACTCCAATAACTTCAACGCAGGTGCTGGCATATCTTTAACGCCTCTCTAACACTGGCCTATCTCCCTTTTTGACAAAGAGACAGCAGAACTCGGGCTCAGAACCTCCTGTAGATAGTACTCTCGAGTTAGAATTTTATAACATTTCTGTTTTGATTTGTTTTGTATTTTCTTCTCTTTTTTTCTGTTTAACTTTCCATAGTTAGAACACACTGTTAGTTTTCTATTTGTGTTGGTAATGGAAAGTTTTGTTTCAGTAGAAGGGGAAAAGGATGTCAATTTAAAGAACAATAAAGTAAGTCTTAATAGTAGGTTAGATGAGGATATAATAAAAATCATAAAGGCAGAAAAAAAGCAACTGAAGATTGGGAATCATTCACATGGCCCAATTCCTGCATTGTACAGAGAAAACTCAGGCTCTAGTCAGGAGGAAGGCTAGGATCTAGGTTTACCTGCAAGTAAGTGGCCCAACCAGGTCCAGCCCATCACTTACTCCCCATCCCAAACCACTCCAATCACCTGGGAGAGCCAACCCACCTGGTGCCTTGTTCCATGGGCCGCCTCGGGATGGAAGCAGTTTTGACAGCAGCTCTGGGTAAGCATGTTGGCCTCAAAGTGTTCACATGGGACATTCCCAGCCATTTCCTCCATATTGAGTGGACCAGGCCAGGGCAGCTCCTGCAATCCAAAGGCGGACCCTCTAGGTGGGGCCTGGGGAGACTGGTGTGGAGGAAAGAAAGAACCAGGTGACTTACTGGCCACAAACTAAGCCCCCAGCTCCAATTTTGCCAGCCCAGACAAGGATTCCTAACTCACTCAAGGTTGCAATGGCTGAGCTAGATTCAAAGTCAGGTCTATGTGCCTGCCTGCTTTCTCAGAGGTGGAAATAAGGGGCACCAGACCACACTGCCAACTCACACAGGGAGTGAGGCAAAGGGCTGGCAAGGTATTTTCAGGGTTGAAGACAAAGTCTTACACAGAAGTGAACAACCTAAGGTTATACAGCAAGTTTGTGGCAGAGCTTAGCTCAAAAGAAACCCTGGTATTGGCTTGGTGCCCGAAGCACAGTGGTTATGGCGCCAACCACATACACCATAGCTGGCAGGTTTGAACCCAGCCTGGCCAGCTAAACAACAATGACAAGTGCAACAAAACAACAACAAAAGAAATAGCCTGGGCAGCACCTGTGGCTCAGTAGGTAGGGCGCCAGCCCCATATACCGAGGGTGGCGGGTTCAAACCCAGCCCCGGCCAAAACTGCAACAAAATAATAGCCAGGGTGTTGTGATGGGTGTGTGTAGTCCCACCTACTCAGGAGGCTGAGGCAAGAGAATCGCCTAAGGAGTTGGAGGTTGCTGTGAGCTGTGTGATGCCATGGCACTCTATCTAGGGCAATACAGTGAGACTGCCTCTACCAAAAAAAAAAAAAAAAGCCAGGCATTGTGGTGGGCGCCTGTAGTCCCTGCTACTCGGGAGGCTGAGGCAAGAGAATCACTTAAGCCCAAGAATTTGAGGTTGCTGTGAGCTGTGACACTACAGCACTCTACTGAGGGCAATAGCTTGAGAAAAAAAAAGAAAAGAAAAGAAACCCTGGTATATGGGTGGCCCTGTGGCTCAAAAGAGTAGGGCACTGGCCCCATATGCCAGAGATGGCAGGTTCAAACCCAGCCCTGGCCAAAAAATGCAAAACAAAAACAAACAAACAAAAAAACCTGGTATCTTGACTCGTGCCCAGGGCTCTCCCTTCTGGGTACCCCTGGGGGCTCCAACATCCATGCTCTGATAAGCAAAACTAGGTCAGGAGAGTCACTTAAAGATGACTCTCCACCCACACAGAGCCCCAGGAGGAGGAAGCAGGGTGGGAAGACTATACCATTCCAAACACAGGCACTTTGTGGTGCCTCCAGGTCACCTGTTCATACCTTTAATCACCTGGTGTGTTTCCTCCAAAGCATCCCAGGGGATCAGGCCTCAATCTCAGCACAGAGCTGAGGAATTCCATGTCCTCCCCTGGGACAGCCAGGGCCAATGCTCCTCCTCCTCCATCAAACCTAGAGGGGGGTGGAACAGGGCACTGCAAGGGACGGTTCACCCTCTCCCCCTCACCCCAGCCCCCGTGGTCTTAAGGTCTCCGATCCTCCCTGAGCAATCATCTCCCCAGTCTCTCCCTGCTCTGGGTGGTGGAGGGGAACCTCATAGGTCCTGTCCATCTTGGGAGGCTCTTTCCCCATCTGGCCCCGCAAAAAAGCATCCTCTTCAACCAGGAACACTGCTTCTTTCTTGGAGAGGGGGCTCTACTTCAGAGCTCTGGCTACTCCTGTTTCCTCCCCCACCCCTAACAACTAGCAGAACCTTTTTCTAAAATGCACTTGAGATGGAAATATAACAATGAAAATCCCCCTTGGGCTAGAGCGGTGGCTCACACTTCTAATCCTCAACACTCTGGGACTCTGCGGGAGGAGGATAGCTTGAGGCCAGGAGTTTGAGACCAGTTTTAGCAAGAAGAGATCCCATCTCTACTAAAAATAGAAATTTAGCCGGGCATCGTGGCGGGCGCCAGTACTCCAAGCTATTCAGGAGGCTGAGCCAGGGGGATCAAGTTGAGGCTTGAACCCAGGAGTTTGAGGTTCCAGTGAGCTACGATGACGCCACTGCACTCTAGCTGGGCGACAGACTGAGACTGTCTCAAAAAAAAAAAGAAAGAGAGAAAAGAAAACCCTTACACATGATGCCCCGCCCCGAGAATGGACCCCTGGACCTGTCTTTCTGTCTCCATCCAGCCAGTCAGCCAGTTCCTTCCCTTAATTCTCGACCCTCTACCCCTGCCTTAAGCCTCTCCTCCCCACCCGCTCTTTTCCGCCGCCTAGTACTAACCTTGGCTCGGGTTTCCACGCAGGGGACTGCCAAGGTAGGAGTGCAAGGGTCACGGCCTCTATTTTAACAATGAATCAGAACGTTGCCTGGGAGGTGGACGGGAGACCGCGCCTCTTCCGCTCTCTCATAGGCTCTCTCTAAGTGTTTCATTTACATGACGAGTATGGGATTGGACAAACCGAGCACAAGGGGTGGGGCGGAGGCGGGCGGTGCCCAGAAGCCTCTGAGCGCGGGACTTGCAGCACGTTTAGTCTGGGCAGTCCGCATCCCAGTCAGGGCTCCCTGAGGACTCTTTCTTTTTTTCTGAGACAGAGTCTCACTATATCACCCTCGATAGACTGCTATAGCATCACAGCTCACAGCAACCTCAACGCTTCGGCTTGAGCGCTTCTCTTGCCTCAGCCTCCCAAGTAGTTGGGACTACAGGCGCCCGCCACGCAGTGCTATTTTCTTTTAATAATTATTTTTTATTAAATCGTAACTTTGGGCTTGGCGC